TAAATTAAAAAAAAAGGGGGGGGGGGGGGAAAAATAAAAACAAAAACCCCCCCAAAAAACCATTTTTGCCGGGGGAAAAAAAAAAAAGTGAAAAAGAATTTTTGGCCCACAAACAAGGGAAAAACGAACTGTACCCGATGGGAGTCCCCCTAAAAAAAAAAAAAACAACCAAAAAAAAACCCGGGGGAAAAAACCCCCCCCAACCAAGTCCGACCAAAAGGGTGGAAAAAGGGGGGGGCCCCCCAAAACCCCAAAAGGGGAGGGGGGGGGGCCCCCGGAGGGGGCCCGGCCCGGTTGAAATTTTCCCAACCCCCTCCCCCCCCTTTCACCCCCTTCCCCCCAAAAAAGGGGGGCCCCAAACCCTTTTGGGTCTACCCCCCGGACCACTGACACCCCCCTTTTGGGGGGCGGAGCAAAAACCCGGGACCTGGGGGGTTTTCCCCCCGGTTGGGGGGGACCCCCCCAACCCCCCCCCGGCGGTTAAAACCGGGGGGGGCTGGGACCCCTGCACGGGGAGAGGAAACGGCCGGGGCAGGCGGGCAACCCCCCCGGGTTTGGGCGTGAGCAAAAGGGCCCGGGCCGGGGGGCGCCCCCGGTTGGGGGGGGGGAAATGGCAGGGCGCGACGCACCCGTAGTTTGGGGGGACGGGAAACAGCCGGGCGGGCTGCGACGCACCCCGGGGTTTGGGGGCCGGGCGGGGGGGGCCCCCCGGGGGTCGTACGCACCTAAGGGGTTCGGGGGGGGGCAGGGGGGGGTGGGCCACCGTAGAGGGTTTCCCCAGGCGGGGGGGGGCCACGCCCCGTAGACTTGGTGCTGGAGCGGACGGGCCCGGGCAGGGCTGTGCCCCACCGTAGATTTGGGTGCTGAGGGAACGGGCCGGGGGCTGGCGCCCCCCTGGGTTTTGTGCGGAGGGACGGGCCCGGGGGGCTGGCCCCCCCTTTTTTGGGCGTGACGGGGGCCCCCTGGGCTCGACGCACACCGTAGCTTTTTGCTAAAAAAAGGGCCGGGGCGGGGGCCGCACCCTGGTTGGGGGAACCGGGGGGCGGGCCCCCCCCCTTCTTGGCGGGGCAGGAAGGCCGGGGCGGGCGCACCCCCTTGCTTGGTGGAGGCGGGAGGGGGTTTTTTCCCCCCCTACTGCCTAACAGCCCCCCCCCCCTTCCCCCCTTCCCTTATCGAAACCCCCCGCGCCGCCCGTCCCCCCCCTTTTTTGGGGGCCCTGTTCCCCTTACCCTTTCCCCCGCCCTCCCTCCTCTCCCGCCCCCTGTCCCCCCCCTGCCCCCCGGCACCCTTGGCCTTTTTTTTTTGTGCTCAAAACAAATACCGCCGGGGGAAAAAAAAACCTTTTTTAAAAGCCCCCCCCGCTCTGTTTAAGGTTCCGCCGAAAGGAAAAAAACCCCCCCGGGAAAAAAATTTTAAAATTTTTAAATAAACAACACCAAACAACTCGTATCAGGGGCACTACCAAAAAAATAAAAACCCCAAAAAACAAAAAAAAACCCCAAAAACGAACACACCCCCACTAAAAATTCCCGGGGGTACTACCCCCCCAAAACCCCCACCCCCAAAAAAAAAAAAATTTGGGGCACCCCTCCTCACGGTCCGGCCCGGGTCCCAACCCCCAAATCCCCCCGTACGCCCCCCCCCCCCCCGGGGGCTGGTAAAAACCCCGGGGGCTCCCCCGTTGAACTTAAACCCCCCAAAACCCGGGGCCGGCGCCCCCGTTGGGCGCGTGGCAAAACGGACCGGATTGCAAAATAGATTGCGGGGGCCGGACGGACCCACCGGCTTCGACCGGGGGCCCGTAGCGTGGGCGGTCAGGGGACCCCCCCGGTTTGGCGTGCACTTGGCCGGCCCCGGACGAGTGGTTTGGGTGGGGGAGAAACCCCCCCGGGGGGGGAAAAGGGCCCCGGGCGGGGCGGAACCCCCCGGGCGGCGGCCCCCGGGTTTTGGGGGGGGGGAACCCGGGGCCCGGCTGACAGACACCTGCGGCGGGGCGGAACAGCCGGGGGCTTTGGACAGAAGCGGGTGGTGAAAACACCGGGCGGGCTGGGCGAACCGGCGGGCGTGGGAGACCCGGCGGGCTGACAGACACCGTCGGGGGGGGGAAAACCGGGCGGCTGGAGCAGAAAGACGGGGGGGGGAACGGGGGGTTTTTAGCACCCCGGGCGGGCTGGGAAAACGGCCCCGGGCGGGCGGAGCCCACCGGTTGGGGGGGGCGGACACCGGCGGGCGTGGAAACCCCGGGCTGGGCGGGGCGCAGGCCCAGGTTTTCCCCCCCACAAAAGGGCGGGGGCGGCCCCCGGGCAGGGTTCCCCCCCCGTGGTTGGGGGTAGAAACGGGGGGGCTGGGCGGCACGCCCCGGTTTGTGCGGAGGGGCGCCGGGGGGGGCGGCGACGCCCCTTGGTCGGGGAGCGGAAGGGGGGGCTGGGCTGGCACGCCCCCTAGGCTTTGTGCTGAGCAGGGAAGGCCGGGGGGCTGGCGACCCCCCGTCTTGGTGGGGGCAGGGAGGCCGGGCTGGGCTGGCGACGCCACCTTATTTTGGGGGAGCAGGAAGGGCCGGGCGGCTGGGGCCCACCCTTGTTTTGGGTGGGGCGGGCTGGGTTTTTTTCCCCCGCTCCCCGCGCCAAAATTCCTTCGGGCCCTTACCCCCCCCCCTTATCCCCCAACCCCACCCCTCCCCTGGGGCCCCCCCTTTTCTTTTCCTCCCCCTTCCGTTTTATTTTTCCCCCCCCCCACCCCCCTCCCTTTTTCCCTGCCTGCCCGGGCCCCTTTTTTTTTGGGTTCTTCAATTCGATGACACCCTGGGGAAACTTTTTAAATTTTTGTCTAAAAAACCCCCCCCCGGGTTTGGTTTTGGGGGAAACAAAAACAAAACGGGGGCAGCTTTTAAAAGGAATAGAACAAAAAAACCAAAACTCTTTATCGTTTGGTTACCACCAAAAAGAAATAAACCCAAAAACCCCCAAAAAAACAAAAAGCCCCCTGGTCAAAACAAACCCCCAAGCTGACAGTCCCCCCCAAAAAGGGCACTCAGGGTAAAACCCCCAAAAACCCAAACGGGGGTTTCCTCCCAGGGGGGGAAACCCCCAACCCCCCTTTCCCCCTTTCCGGCACCCCCCCCCCCCCCCCCGGGCCCCCCATTCCAAAACCCAGGGGGGGTTGTGCCCCCCCTGACCGGCCCCCTGGCTTGGCGCTGACAAAACCCACCGGCTACGCCCCCCCCTTTTGGTGGATGCAAACGACGGACCCCCGAGAACCCCCTTTGTTTGGGGGGGACAAAACAGGCCGGCGGGCGGGGCCCGCACACCGTCAGGTTTGGTGCCGTGGAGCCGGAACAGGCCGGGCAGGGCTGTCGACGCACACCGTAGACTTGGTGCGTGGAGCAGGAACAGGCCGGGCAGGGCTGGTCGACGCACACCGTAGACTTGGTGCGTGGAGCAGGAACAGGCCGGGCAGGGCTGACGACGCACACCGTAGACTTGGTGCGTGGAGCAGGAACAGGCCGGGCAGGGCTGTCGACGCACACCGTAGACTTGGTGCGTGGAGCAGGAACAGGCCGGGCAGGGCTGTCGACGCACACCGTAGACTTGGTGCGTGGAGCAGGAACAGGCCGGGCAGGGCTGTCGACGCACACCGTAGACTTGGTGCGTGGAGCAGGAACAGGCCGGGCAGGGCTGTCGACGCACACCGTAGACTTGGTGCGTGGAGCAGGAACAGGCCGGGCTGGGCTGGCGACGCACACCGTAGGCTTTGTGCGTAGAGCAGGGACAGGCCGGGCTGGGCTGGCGACGCACCCCGTCTTGGTGCGTGGAGCAGGGATAGGCCGGGCTGGGCTGGCGACGCACACCGTAGGCTTTGTGCGTAGAGCAGGGACAGGCCGGGCTGGGCTGGCGACGCACCCCGTAGGCTTGGTGCGTAGAGCAGGGACAGGCCGGGCTGGGCTGGCGACGCGCACCATTAACTTAGTGCGGGGAGCAGGAACGGGCCGGACCGGACTGGTGACGCACACCACTTGCTTGGTGTGAGGAGCGGGACTGGGTTTCTTCATAACCCTTCCCTCCCTCAGCTGCCTACACAGTTCCTCTCGCCGTGCCTCTACTCTCACCCTCTCCCTTATCGCCTCCAGTACCCACGTCGTCCATGCCCTGTGCCCCCCCCTAAAAATTTATTGGGGTTGCCTCTCGACCTTCCGACTTTGACCCGTTTGCCGCCGCTGCTCCTCTCTACGGCGCGCCTCCCATGTCCAGGCTGCCTGCTCCTGGACACGCTGCTTGGTCCTTTTATGGTGGGTTTTTCTGTCACGATCGTCTAGTAGCGAAGTAGACCAAGGCGCAGCGTGTGAAAGAAACATGACTTTATTATATTAAAGTACTAACAAACCAAACCAAACACGACTCGTGAAGTCCAACGGTTAACACTGACCGTAAAGGAACAAAAACCCACAAACACAAGGTGAAAACAGACAGTTTAAATATGGCTCCCAATCAGAGACAACGAGCCAACAGCTGACACTCGTTACCTCTGATTGGGAGTCACTCATCCAAACAAAGAAATACAACCCCATAGAACAACCCAACCAAACAGAACACCACGAAACGAACACACCCTGGCTCAACATACAAAGTCCCGGAGCCAGAGCGTGACAGTCGGGAACTCGGGCCTCTTTCTAGAGCTCCGACCTGAAGACAGGCCCTGCTGTAATGACTGAAATGTGAGTGATTTTACAAGTATCTGGTCTGCTGCAATGGATGGAGACTTGGAGAGGGTCAAATCACTTCTCCAGAAGGTAACAGAACCTAACCTAAGAGATTCAGCTAATGACACTGCTCTGGTGAGGATGTGGCTCCCTAGGCTAGAATGATCATTGTAACCTATAATATTTTTGTAACACTGGAATGAGTTGAACTGCTCCTCCTAACTATCAGTGGTATGGTTGTGATTTATTTCAGCACTATGCCAGTCGCAGTCGGCATGAGTCTGTATGTAAGTTCCTTCTTGAGAGCACGGCATGTGCCAACCCTCAGACGCCGGGTGGGGCCACTCCTCTTCACCGATCTGCCAGCAGATCCCCAGCTATGTGATTATGATGGCTCCTCCCCATTACATAAGGTGCAGTACTAGTCAATGGCAAAAAAGGAAATTAATACATGAGTCATTTAGCAGACACTCTTATCCAGAGCAACTTACAGTAGTGAGTGCATGCATTTTCATACTGGTCACTCCTGGGAATCAAACCCTCAATCTTGGTGTTGCAAGCGCCGTGCTCTACCAACTGAGCCACACGGGACCATAATAAGTGCAACACAAAAAATGCAATACAAAAACAATAAGTGCAACATTTGTTGTAAGGCAATATTGTAATTATATCATACACAATGGTGTGTATTTTGTGTGTTGACGAATGGAGCAGGCTGCAGAGCAGGGCCATGAAGAGATCTGTAGAATGCTTTTCCAGTGCTGTCCCTCCCTCTGGGACCACGCAAACAAGTCCTTGGTACCTTACCAGCTAGCACCAGATGGACTTCTGAAGGAGCTCCTGGAACACCCACGATAACATCGGGACACCCAGCTCAACACATTAGCCATCTGGTTTACTAGCAGCTTATCGGTGAGGCATTCACTTTTGTGCAGCTGTTCTGTGTTTGTTTTGTTGAGGTCCCCACCTAAACTGCCTGGCATGAGATTGATCTAATCAGGTGTAGTTATTTCTCAACCAGCAGGGGGAGAAAGTCTACCAGCAATTGGTTTACTTTGTCAACTAGCTGTTTCTGCATGTTCACAGAGTGCCATGGCATGCTGGTCCTGACAACATGGCCCTGAATTTGCGAGGTCTGGATGGCCCTTGGATAACTGCAGTAGCAGACGCCTGTTTGTCTGTACTAGCTGCTTTGAGCCATAGATCAAGTTCACGTCTGTGAAAAATATGTACTGGAAAACTGATGACGGAGTCAAAAATGAATCTGGCAGTAGTTTGCTTCTTGTTCTTCTGTTTTTCATAGAACTTTGTGAAACTGAAAAGAGGCTGTCCATATGGTGTGAGCGCATTCACTATGGTGTGAGACTGAAATGTGTATGATTGTGTTGTGGGGAAGAAGTAATTATTCGGCTGCATTAAAGCCTATGGATTTTCATTGGACAAAGGAAGTAGCGTAAGCCTCAACAAAAAGAGGATTAATCAAGCAAATGAGTTGGCTTTAGTTTGACAACAAATAAATGATTTATTTAATGAAAAACATTTTTGTGTAAGACTTGTATATTGTGTAAATCAATGGATTAATTGTCTTGATAATGAATCTTATTTTATTGGATCAAGTCTATAACTTTTGTGGTTACACACACCAGAGGAAAAATACCATCTTATACGTTCTGGACTTGGCAGTAGCTACTTGGCCAACACCCTTGCCTTTGAGTAATTAGCTAAATAAATGGTTTAAAGTTGAACTTTTTGCAGTCTCTCTCTTGTTAGTATTTTGTTCAGTTTAATGAATTCTGTCTCCGAGCATATGCTCTTTATATTACCATCTTTATATTGAGATTAGATTATTGACTCTTCCAGGAATGGCCTCACACACCCTTAGAGTAGGTGGTGGTGTATGGACCTAAAAGTTGGATGCAATCCACCAACCAAATCCCAAAGAAGAAGAAGAAGAAGAAGAAGAAGAAGACTCTTCCAGGTTGCAATATTAAGAACAACAGGCAGTTCTCCGAAGGCCTGGATGGGATATTTACTGATGAAGAGGAAGCCGGATAGCTTGACGATGTTGACGCATACAGTAACAGCTGTGAAGTGTGGGAGGCTAAACAGTATGCCTCTGCTCTGTCTGCTGTCTGTTCAGGCTGATTAGATCTCACCTCATGGCGTTCCTCATGTAAAGCTAACTATCACTTTCTCTCTCACTCTGGCACACCACCTTCACCCTCCCCAATCTCTAGTCTCCCATCATGCCCTTCTTCTCTGCTTCATGTATAGTCTACTTTTAGCTTTGTTTTTGGCTCTTATTCCTGCCTCCCCTTTTCTTTCCTATTATCCTGACCCTACCTATTGGTCTTCTGTCATTCTCTGCCCTGCTCTGCTTTTCTCTCCCAACAGGCTCAGTGTAAATATGGACACATGAAAGAAACCACACACTGGAGTCTGGGGAACTTTCATTTGGCCCGGCTGGTGGGTGGTGTTTCCATTGCGCCCCTCAAACCACATCCAGTGCAGTGACTGGAGGGGTGCCAGGCCACATCTGGAGCTCATTGCAGCTGACGCCACGCTCCACTGGGGGGGGGGGGGGGGGGGGGGGTGAATGTAATCCTGGCTAACCAGACCAAATGATTGTGTGACTTACACCAGCATATATGCGAGAACTCTCATGTTGTTGTGGTCCTTTGGCCATTGGATGATATGGGCAGATATTCAGGTCAAAATGGAATGTAACATTGCAATGTTTTGTGGGTGCCATGGAAAATAAAGAATAATTTGCTGCAAGTGAGCTGATACATGTCAGATCATGTCATAGCTAATCATGGTGGCCTATATCTGATTGTTTCTTTGCCAGATTTTGTGAGACTTAAACAATCAATCTAAAAGTTTATGCTGTCTCAGGTTTGCCAATGAGCAAGCTAATGAAAACCCTACGTGGCACTGGGGAAACTGGAGGAATGTTAAAAGGCTTTCTCATTCCTTTTGGATATGTTTTAATGTGTCGGCTTGAATGGGAGAATTACTCGCTCTTTGATGAGGGAAACAAGTTCATGGAAACTGGCTTGTAATGGGTACAAATCTACTCTTGAACTGTAAGATAATCAACATATTGCTGAACAACGATACAACTTTGCTACCTACGTCATATGAAGTTAAAAAACACAGATCAAAAGGTAATGTTTGCACTACATTTGAATTTACATTAGATTAAATATGTTTTTCTTCATGGTTTTAAAGCCTTTTACAGATAGGGTAAATTCATCTCATTCATAATATTACTATAGATGAATGGATCGATTTTCACAAATCCCACATTTTGATTATTTGTGTGTACATCTGCTTACCTGAAAGTGTAAACAATATGGATGATTCACTGAAAAAAGCAAACTTCACTGAAAAGAGCATGTGCAATTTCCTGCAAAGAATGTCTCTCTTTCTTTGAAACTATATTCTCTCTATGTGAAAACTAGAGGAGGACTCCACAATACCAGGAATTTGGATACTCTATTTAGTGAGATTTATTTGGAAAGCAATGAAACTTCCCTTGGGCCTAGAACCCACTTCCTCAAGGAGACCAAGTTAAGCCAGAACTGGATGTTATTCCCCTCAGAAATAGAAGGTGGTCTGAAAACGCTGGTTTTGGATAACTTGAGTTAGTGCAGTCCTTCATTTTAAACAGGGCCTATTGTGGCCATAGGAACAGAAAGGCTGGATTGTGTGTCTTTGTGGAGCATGTTAGCCCAAAGGCTGGCAGATGTCGATATTGAGTCGTTTCATCTTACCCTCCAAACGCATTGTATGCAGCCGGCAATACAGTCATATCCCCCGTAGACCGGTTCTCACCTAAAATATTCTCCATTCAGGCAGCAAAGGCTTCGATTTAATGGCAAGAAGGCGAAGAAAGAAAGAAAATGGGGAAAATATCTGTACTTTCTTTATGAAACACAATTTATTTTAGCCTTCTCATCATTAAATAAAGTTGGAGAATGTTGGAGAATGTTTTATGTACGAACCGGTCCACGAGGGATACGAGTGTATTGCCGGCTGCATACAAAGCTTTTGGACGGTAAGATGAAACGACTCAATATCGCCATCTGCCGGCCTTTGGGCTATAGATCATGTATGCTCCCTCCTGCCTTGTGTAAACTTTGGCAAACAGGAAAGGACATAAACGGAGCTGAAGGCTTTACACCTCTGGTCCTCTTCAATCAAAACTGGGTCTAGATTAATGTTATTGAACTGCAAGAATGTATGTTTTGATTCATGAACTGAACTACGTTTACCATGTTAAATAAAAAGTTTCTTCCCGGAAACTTTATGATTTTGATTAAATAGGCAGGGCCTCTAGTTTTGCTGGATTTTACAGTCTGTGACAGCATATACTGTAGCTAATTGAATGAGAAGATAAAATGCATTTCACTGATGTGTGAAAGTCATTTGACCAATATACAGTAATATGAAATGGATTTATGAGTCTCTCATACTGATTGAAAAATACAAATGCATTTGATGTTTCCTTTTTGGAAACTGTATCTGAGAGGTCCTTTTGTGTGATTTAACTACACAGGCCTGGTCACTGTCATCTTGGCTGCTGGAAAAGCTCTCCATCCATCTGTTCTCTACACAGGAGCCATTCCCTGGTTTCCCAGATGCAGGACCAAAGCAGGGCCTGGCTGTGTGAGCCTGAAGTAATCAGGTAAATGGCTGGCAGATGAGCACACATCTAAAAGAGAGTGGACTCCCAGACGCTGGCATAAAAGACTGCCCCATATTATCTAATGTGCCTTGGACGGCTGATGAGGTTTGAGACGAGGGAGGGGGATCATAATCAAATCTCAGAGATCCAATTTAATCGAATTCAACTCCACTCCCGCTTCAAAGTAGCATGTTGTCTGATGATTGAAATGATGTTGGAGATCTTACTCCCACTGTCCAGGTTAGATGATGATGGAAGGCTGCATAGGCTCGGCTCCAGGGGCTGCTGCCCCTCTCAATCACCAGTATCACTATATCTGGGGTGTTAAAACAGTGGTGTCACATGCACCTCGACATCAGGCCCTAAACAAAGCTAAAGTACTTCACGTCCTCAGACCCTGCCATAAATACTTGAATTAGGAACACTTGACCATGGGACAATAGCATACTCCAAGTCTACTGAACAAAATATAAATGCAACATGTAATGTGTTGGTCCCATATTTCATGAGCTGAAATCAAATATCCCAGATATTTTCCATATGCACAAAAAGCTTATTTATCTCCAATTTTGTGCACAAATTTGTTTACATCCCTGTTAGTGAGCATTTCTCATTTGCCAAGATAATCCATCCATCTGACAGTTGTGGCATATCAAGAAGCTGATTAAACAGTATGATCTTTACACAGGTGCACCTTGTGCTGGGGACAATAAAAGGCCACTCTAAAATGTGCAGTTTTGTCACACAACACAATGCCACAGATGTCTCAAATTTTGAGGGAGCGTGCAATTGGCATACTGACTGCAGGAATGTCCACCAGAGCTGTTGCCAGATAATTTAATGTTCATTTCTCTACCGTAAGCTGTCTCCAACGTCGTTTTAGAGAATTTGGCAGTACGTCCAACCGGCCTCACAACCGCAGACCACGTGTAACCACACCAGCCCAGGACCTCGACATCCGGCTTCTTCACCTGCGGGAACGTCTGAGACCAGCCACCCGGACAGCTGATGAAACTGAGGAGTATTTCTGTCTGTAATAAAGCCCTTTTGTGGGGGAAAAGTCATTCTGATTGCCTGAGCGTGGCTCCCAAGTGGGTGGGCCTATGCCCTCCCAGGCCCACTCATGGCTGCGCCCCTGCCCAGTCATGTGAAATCCATAGATTAG